TATGGCTCAGGCTGTGGCTGTGGCTATGGCTCAGGCTGTGGCTGTGGAAGAGTCTCCTGCTGTGGGTGTGGATATGGCCGTGGCTCTGGCTACTGTGGCTACCGGCCATTTTGCTACAGAAGATGTTACTCTTCTTGCTGCTAGACCATCATTCTCCAAGCCCCATTTGCTTCTGAAATGACACAACCAAAGCAACAACTGAAGCAAGCATCCATACCTCGAGTATTCTACATCCAGGAAATTGTATGCTTGACAGAGGCTTTCACCCCCAGGCAACATTTATTAGGATGGCATCTTGAGGCTCCAGGCTTTGTGGTATCATGTGACTATTTCCCAAATGTTGGTCTTTGTTCTCTCAATCTGGATTCTGTGTTGTGACTATGCCATCGATCCTAACCTCCCTTTGTTGGAGAAAAACTTTTTCTCAATAAAAAAACTTCTTTGCTTCGAACAAATCTCTGCGTTCTTGGTTGTGAATTACTTCTGTTTTTCGGGTTTTAGGAGCTCTCTTGAACATTGGGTTGACGATACTAAAGCTAATAGAGGATTGGCCCTTTACTGGATAGAAAAATTACAGTCATGATGCTCAATGGATGATATCTTCTCCTCTTTTAGAACGCATTCAAGGACAAGGATCATAAAAAAACAATGAGGAGATTTTCAACAAACTGTAAATACTAGAATTCCATTCCCCTCTTTGTGTAATTTCCCCAACCTCCGATTTCCCCAAACTACATTCAGTCCTCCCATCAGATATACAAATATTCCATCTATGAAAACTATCGAACTACTGAAGAAGCCCTGTTTCTTCATCAGTAGGACACATTATATCCTGGGCATAGCTGCACTCCAGGGCTGCCCTTGATGGCAGAGCCATCTTCCTTGCAATTGGCCATTGGGTGGATGCTCCTACCTCCAGGGACTGCAGACTCAGACTTTGTGCAGTGACCCTTGTCATGGAGACGAGACAGTGAGTCATTTTTCACTTCCCATTGAAATGGAGCCTGAAAAGTCATTCTATGTTGTAGAATACAGTGTTAGAGGTCTGGAAAGTCACATGAGGAAATCACACGGAACTCAGAAACCACAAAGTTGTAGGCTCTGAAACTCAGACAGTTATCTAGCCTTTTCATCCCATTCTTATATCTGCATTGATTGAGGCACTAGAGAGCATTTTAAGCACTAGCTCTTGTTCTTTTCCACTAAAAATTGTGGCACCACTGTTCATTCCCAAAACATAATGCATTTCTCTTCTTCCTTAACGCTACTACCCTACTTCCCGGTATTTCTTGTGACAGGCATCATCCGTTCATTTGGCATGATATGTCAAAATACCTCCCCGAACTGTGTCTCCAATGCTTCAGTCTTCACTCTCTTCCCCAGATAGCTCTTCTCTTTCAAAGGCTTCATATAAAAAAAGAATGAAAATTATATCAAAGAATTAAAAAACTGTTTATTATATATTGTGGTAATATTTCGTTAATATTAAATAAAATATGTTATAAAAGCATTTCATCTGTTTCTTTTTAGGTTTTTAAAATGTGGCTAATGTAAAGTTCTTATTTCTATGTGTTTTATGATATATTTCTATTGTATAGAGTGGTTTTATAAGGTCACACCGATCTGGCCAGGGAGTCCTGTAGCCAGGAAGGGAAATCATGTTAGGCCACCTATGACCATCCAGCAATACCTCTATGTTATCCAGGTATAAGGAGTTGATCATTCGGAGATAATAAGAACACAATAGCCAGTGCTAAAGACTTTAGAAGGTGCCTAGGAAGAAAGTTTTCTTCTGAGATAGTTTATTCAGTAAATGGGATTAATCAATTTGTCATCTGTTTAGGATAAAGAAAAGATAGATACCTGCCTTACACCTTGTACAAAAGAAATGCCATATTGATTAAAGTTGTAAACAATGAAAGTTAATTTATCAAAGTATTAAATGATGTTAGAAACTTTCAGGAATTTTGTAAGCCAGCTAATTTGAAACTAGTGGTGCTAAGAATATTTACAGCATGGAAATTGCAAATCAGACTCCCTATCATCAACCGAGGTCATTAAAGAATTAACAGACCATTGCCCACATCCATCTCGTTATTGAGATTAAACTGATATTTTTAAATATTTTACAATATGGATGTATTATTTATGAGCCTAAAAAAGAAAACAAATCCATAGGAATGAATAAAAGAGGTTACAATATTGCTTTATGTCTAGAAATCTTTGGAACCTATATTAAGTTGATATCTATGTTCCCCGGTGCAGGAACTATTGTATATAACTACACTCTCCTTCTGCAAGATATCATTTCCTCAAGGTCATCCCAAAGCCTACACTTCCAGGAAGAAAATTGTGAAGATAGTGATTAAGAGTCTAGGTTCCATAGAGGGTATTATGCTAAGAGAAATGAGCCAATCAGAGACAGACAATTATCATATGATCTCATTCATATATGGAATTTAAGAAACAAAACAGAGGATCATAGGGGAAGGGAGGAAAAAATAAAACAAGACAAAATCAGAGATGGAGACAAACCATAAGAGACTTTTAATCATAGGAAACAAACTGAGGGCTGCTGGAGCAAAGGGGAGTGGGGGGGGTGGGGTAACTGGGTGATGGTCATTAAGGAGGGCACATGATGAAATGGGCACTGGGTATTATATAAGACTCTACCTCTGAAACTAATAACACACTATATGTTAATTAATTGAATTTAAATAAAAAAAACTATTTTCTTAAAAAAAAAAAGAGTCTAGGTTCCAGAGTCACATTACTTGTGCTTTGGTATAGTCTCCATCACTTATTAGTGGTGTGATCATGGAACATTATTTAACTCTTCTGAGCCTCAGTATATTCAGAGGTAAAATGATAAAATAGTGCTAGATCAGGATTGCTGAAAGTACAAAACAAATAAAATATGCAAAACTCTACCACTATGAGAACTCAGTAGATTTTTGTTATTATATTTATTTTTATGTTACTCAATATGAAATTGCTGACACAACCATTTTAACAAAAAAATTTATGGCTCAACCTTATATATTATTTTATTAATATTAGCAATATTTGATAATCCCAGAATTTTGTAGTCCATTATATCAATTTTCTCATGTCAAATGCATGGGTACAATCCCAAGTTAGATGTTTTGTACATCTATCATACATGTATTTCATAGTTAGGAACTCTAACATATGCTCTGATACCAAGTAAATTGACACAGTGTCAATGCACTTTTCATAACAAATTAATGGGTTTTAGTGAAGTAGTTTGTTTTCTGATGATTGGGTCCTGCTTTTAATTTTATCATAAAATTCTATTAATTACTAGAAAAGTTTCTGTTAGATTTGGCAGATGGTATGGGATCTATCATAAAAAAAGATTTTTTTTTTTAAGGGAGGAAGTGATAACAGTAGGTTTTCGTTAAAGTATATTGAAAAGTGAATGGGTAAGGAAGAGTGAAGATTGAAAATAATCTAACCTTTCATGTTGCATGAGGTGGAAGATTAGAGAGTGGTCCAATGGAAATGATGATTCACTCTCCCTAGGGTTTTTAAAGCATGGAGCTCATCCTTAAGCTTTAGATACGTAGTTTTTATTCAATATTCTATGTCCTGGAATATGCATGAAGTAGGTCTTCAAAAATTCTTGTAAAATTAATTGCACTGTTCTGTCACTGTCTGGAAAAAGACTCAATGGAACGATGAGGGTAAAAATGGTCATGCCAACATGTTTTAGAAAGAAAGCAGGTGGCATGGAATGTGGAGAGGTCGTGGAGTTTGCAGGAATGGAGCCAATGTTGAATATAGTTTAGTGGAAAGAACTGTGAAATTGGGACAGTCATAATTAGAAGGCAACCTAGAATCTGAGGTTTTAATTTTGACACAAGGGTTGTGGGTCCAGGTGCTTTTACTCTATATTGACTAAAATTGGCGAGGTTTAGAAAAGTTACCATCATTTCTTCTTAAATGTTGACTTAAAGAAGGTTATGAAGATTGTACTCTCAGTAGGCAGTTTCCAAGTGCTGAGGGGCAGCTCTAGTACCACAGTGTGATGCTTAAGAGGGTCATGGAGCAGGTTTGAGAGGGGGCTGAGTTGTCTGCTGTGGCGGCAAAGTGAGATCACAAAGAAAGAAAATCCAGATGATAGAAGTGTAAAATATTGGTAATTTTAGTCAGGGTGAATATTTTGCATTTGAGAAATTGAAGGAAAAAATAGTTCATGAAAAATAAATTCATGGGTCCTGCCCTAGCTTTTATGTTATAGGGGGAATTGAAACAATTCAACTTTACCCGTAAATAACTCATAGTCCTTGGACAAGACTTAACTATCCTCAGCCTCCCTTTTCTCATCTGGAACGTGTATAAAAATACACACCACAATTTCCTACTTTATGTTGTTTTTGTCAGCATCAGATGAACTGATAAATGTGAGTATATCTCAAAAGCTATGGAAGGAAATATAAATGTTAATAATTTTTGTTATTTTTTCTTATATGACATCCTATATATTAAAATAACAATTTTTACAGGTGGACAAAATCTCATAGACTGTCATTCACCAGTTAGTGAGTTGCCTGATTCTTTAGATTCCCATAAAATAAAGACAAAGTTATGGGCATTAAATAACTCATGACTGACTGAGGGAATCAGGTAATTAAGACAGAGTGTGCTAATATAACATTCAGTACCACAATAGAGGTAGGCTATGGAAGAACAGAGGAATTATGCCTAATATTATCAATGTCCAGGAATGCTTCCTATACAAAGTATAGTCTAAGTTGTGCTTTGAAGAATCAGTAGGTTATGGAGCAGATAAAACTTGGTGATGTAAGTGGCAGGTGTTTCAAAGAAAGTATCACACTGAAAAATGTCTTAAAGAGAGTGGATTATGTTGCATTGGATAAAATCATGGTTACTTTTATTTTAATATATTGCAACAGACCCTTGATTTGCACCAATTTAGATCTTCTCACCACCACAGTGGCCATTCTACCTAGGCTCCATCCACTTTCTTGTAGATATAACCTGAGAAAGCCTCACCTCATACACCTGCTGTTTGCCTCTTACCTCCAGCCAGGGTGCTTTCCTGTTGAACCTGAGGAGATACTGGAGCATCTCTCATGCCCATGTATGTTTACCTGGAATTGCAGGAGGGTTAGTGACCCCTGGAGTGAAAAATCTCAATTAGGTTTGATTATATTGTACAGACACATTTATTCAATATGTAGGTTTCCTCTGTTTTCTTATAGTTCTCATGACTAGTTAGGGCCAAATCCTGGACATAACTACCCGAATAGAAATTGTTGTCCTTAGAATGATGAGCTTTCCAAAAATGAAAATTCCTGTGGTAATAGACTATGGAGTTTATGTTGTATACTCCACCCATTTCTGGTAGTATGTAAAGGTCTCAGGGCAAGAGAGGACATTCAGACTTCAGAAACCTCCATCTGCTCTT